CTTTACTTACTCCAAAGTGGGAGTGCAGTCGGGTATGTCATTAAAATAGACAGGAAAGGAGGCGTGACTATCACATGGAGGTTAAACTTTTAAAATTATTGATTGAACAAATAAAAACTGAATATACGATTGCATGGCTAGCACTAAAACAGGAGGGGTTTACGTCAACCTTGATTTTAGCTGTCTCCTCGTAGCGCAAAGCATTTAATGGTCGGAAAGACAGAAGTAGCAAAGTTAGACATCTAAAATGGCTTTTACTAAGACGTGAATTCGTGTGAAGCGTAATAAACACTTTTGGAATACTTTGAATTCTCATAATAGGAAATTTAACAGAAGTACTGCGCCTTGGGAAAAAGCGATCACGGCGTTTAAGTTAGAAAATATGGTATGAAAAAAGACGAACTGACGAGGTTTGCTTAAGTAGGATGGCGCCTGTCACTGGATTGCAGGGCTGCGAGTTGTCCAAAGAAAAATCAAGCTGGAATTGAGCGGATTTCCAAGAGAAGGTTTGGAAATACGACACAAACTTTTCGCAAGAGGAACGTACGAGGAGGCAAGAGGACGAAATGGGCTGGCGCGCGTCACCATATATTCTCGGTTGCCAGCCATTTGTTCAATTCTCTATCCTATATACGACCCTAGATTAAACGAGAAAGATTTCAGCAGCGCATATTTTACACGGCTGATGAAAAACAGAGAAACAAGCATTTGTAGTCTAGGGCTCTGGCGCCGAGTATGTTTCGACGAGGTGTATGTGTTAAGTGAGTGTTCTGAAAGAAGAAATCTGGACACCAGCCTAAATAATTTTTTAGCAAAGTTATATTCAGCTAGGAGGAGTGGGAAAGAAAATTTCCGTGAGTGTGGAGAGACTCCTGCGAACCACCACGCTTCTTCCTAGTAGGCATGTCACGGTAGAGAAAGAAATTGCCACTGCTCCACTACTGTGAAGTGTGAGGATGTACGTAGCATGAACACCCAGAATTCCCCGTTCATGGAGTTCCCACTGTTCCGTTGACCAAACCATTGACATCGTCAATGTTTGAGGTGAGCACGCAGGATTGCCCCGGACGAGCAGAATTTTGTTTGGGAGATTCGCCTACTCGGTGTGTGTCATGCCCGATGCTTTTGCGTTTAATGACTTCCTGCTTGCTACAACACTTGAGGTACGTGTCATCCGCAGTAAGTTTGGTCAGATTGTTTTCACTATTAAGATGTAGCTAGGAAGCACCCGATAAGGCCGGTTGAATGAGCAGTCGTGCTTGCGATGAAGCAGTAGCGCCCTCTCTTGCGTTGCACGAGAGTTAGATGCAGTTTTCTGAAGTGTTTGTACCTGTTTTGGGATTATTAGAATGATTACTTCTGCGTTATCTCTGTTAGTATGTTATTCCAGATATTGATCGTTCATTTCAACCTGGTTTCGAAAATTGTTAACCTTGTTATGCCATTTTGAGCACTTTACTCTGAGCGTGATCACGACGCATGAGATGCATGATGGGACGACTAGCCGAGGCCTTAAACTCCATTTTAACGTTGAGGTTATAGACGACAAAGCAGCACTCTCTATTCCGGCGACATGGCTCAGTGGGAAGTGTACATCGGAGCTCACAATGATATAATCACAAATGATTACGCAAAAGTTTAGCGGTAAACGCAGGGCTAGCGCGTTTCAGCATCGTGGGATAACCATGCACACGGAATACTTCGACAGTGATTTTTTTTTAATTTTATGAGAATATGTTCACTTTTCGGATCCATCACGGAAAGCAATACGTGAGCAAACTTTTCAAAAATTATTTTAGTCAGTCTCCAGAGCTCTTCTTTTAGTACGTTTCATCCCCGACCAAAAGGGCACCCGACATACTTTCGACGTTGCGTAAGCGTGTGTGTGCGAGAGAGAGGCTAGCGTGACCTTGGCTAAGTGCACCTTCTTTCTGGCTTAACTCATCGCACCAAAACGAAAAAGTCTGGAGCAAATAACAAACATCTATATACATGTCTGAGCTACACAAGGATAGCTGTCTGAGCTACACAAGGCTAGTTCCCTGCGTAACACACTGGCTTATGATAGACTATCTGGGATGCCGCAAGCAGTTAGATGAAATTCGAATGGAAGCGATTACAAATCACTTTTATTCCTGTATAAAACAGCAATATGCACATCGAATTACTTTGTATGTGTCGAAACAGTTTTTTTGAAGCACCTTAAAAGTGGGCAACAATTCGTTACCGTGAGGAAGCGGGGTTTTTTTGTAGACGAGTGTTGATACTGCTTACTTTACAATGAACGAAAAAAATTTGGGATAAATTGCTTTTTTGTTACAATAATAACGGATGATAAAGTAGCATTACATCAGAATGAATTACTCCAATACGAATAGTGTCAGCCCCAAGGTCAAAGCAGTTACACTAATTCTGCAAGTGGACCTAGTGATTTGCGCAAGCGAGAGGCATCGAAGATACACCATTTATACAGGCTTTCAATGAGACAAAGTGACCAATTAAAACAGTATAAAACAAACATTTTGACCTGCAGCGTTCGGTGAAGCCGAATGAAAGCCCACCCCGCACTGTGTGCACCAAAAGTGAGCAATATAATGCAAACATACCAAGTGACAAGAAGAAGCAGGTTTTATGGTGTCGATTGTGACTGATGACAAAGCAGAAAAAGGTGCAATTTACCCAAACATGCCATTATTTGTAGACAATGTTTCGTGGCACCGAAAGGACTGTAGCAGCTATTTACTACATACTATGTATGAAAATTTCAGTAGGTTGTAATGATATTCCGCAGATATGATCGGTCCACAAGGAATGTGTTCGTGAGCAATGAGACACGATGGCCACGGATTTCTTTCGCGCTAAAGTTTTTGAAATACCTCGCGCCGGTGTATCTACAATTGGCAGTGCGCACATTCAAAAGAATATAGACTTTCGTTCAGGTCTCGTATTTACAACTGACGCGTAGGTGACGTCCACGATAGTCCACGTACCGAGCACCACTTCTACTGTGGTACGAATGTTTCAGGTCTGAACACAAAAATAAGCTCGGCGTCTTTTTGACGGTTAGCTATTAGATTGTATTTGACTATAATTAACACTCAAGACGTATCTGGCCTAAATGCTCACGCCAGTTGCGTGCAGAATATAACCAGTTTAGCATGCACACTTGACCACAAGGGTCGCTACCACAAGTAGCAATCTTTCTCCATCTGCACTTACGTCAATGCTTATGCGTCAGACTGAACATTACTTAAATGATCATGTGATGGTTCCCAGTGCAAGGGCTTACAGCCAGAGAAACCACTGCCATCACTAAAGCCCAGTCACAGTGGACTTAATACTGCATGCTAGTTCGCTGCAGCCCCAATAAGCAACGTTGTTTACACTTCTGTTAAAGCGTAGACAAACACCCTCAATATACCAATGAACAAAGAGAAGCAATAAACACATGGCACGCCAGTTGTTAAAAGGCTTGGGCAGTTGTCCAGCTGCACTAACACCACCATGTCAACGAAAATATCTCGCTAAAGCGTCCACAGATATCTTCTTGTAACAAAATTTCACAGCCATCGGGTTTTCACTCGAGGTCCACCGGTGACTGGATAGCACAAACGGGCGAAGAACCACTTAATCCTTCATAGCTTTGACCTTTCTATAGGCGGGTTGTGGAAGTTTTCTCGAATTGCTCAAATGTTTGGTTCATTGTAGAGTCGCCACACTGTGGTCCAGTAGATGTCCATAGACCTTCCGCAGAGGTTACACTTGTTCGCTTTGTCGCAGCCACGCACACTGAGCTTTTTTTTTTGGCACTTTCACTTTCATGTAACTGTCAAAGCGCTACGCTCGTCATTCGGCGACAATGCAGTTGGAGACGCGCCACATCCCCCACTTGTCATTTCTCGTAGGTGCTTGGTAGTGATCAAGCTTTATGAACTTTAGGATGCCCAGAAACACAGCGTACAACAAACTTTCTTCAATAACTGAGCCAGACGTTGCCAACTAAGCATAAACACAATGAAGACGTCCTTCTTAAGTACGATGAATTCTCTGGCGTCCAAGTTCCGCATCATTATTGTCGAACGAACAATAAGAGCCCCATGTTCTGACTTTTCAAGTTTTTTCCCCTGCCTTTTCTCGAATCTTTATCTCTCTCTCCTTCTCTTGTCAGTAGCTGTACTTCACTCCACAATGGTATACAGCCATCACAATAGCAGCGTTGTGGTTGTGGTTCTTAAATGCGGCAAGTAAAAAATAAGCACTACAGCGTTATTGGACGTTTCATGTGGTCGCTGTTGGTCTTTTTCGCACTAGTGAAGCTGCTCCACTCGTCGAAGCAACCTGACAACTTCACAGATCAAGATGAGCCCGAAGAATTATGGTAGGAGGCACAACCGTCTTGAAGCGTGCAGCCGCTAAGATGGCTTGTATTTGTTGCACCGCCATAGAACATCTCTGGTAAAGCTCAAGTCCTCTTTGAGAAATCAACGACATCTCCTAAAGTTAATGAGGCTCGCAAAGTATGCCTCAAGGAATTGGAGATCACCCGGACAGTAGTTTACACTTGTCAGGTGGGACTTCAGTTTACTTTCTCGTCATAGTCCTACTTATTGTACCTGGTAGAAACCATTCCCATCTTTTCGTTTCTTAGCCTAACGAATGTACGTAGGCTTGACTTTACGTTAGCAACAGTTGAGAAATTGAGGTCCTGGGGGATGTTCTTTCGTGACTAGCTGCAATGTTCAAGGCCGTCATGGGAGATTGGCTTGCTGTGAAAGAACACTGCACAGACTTTGAATCCACACAGCAGCAGAGAAATCACCAGACATAACCCTGGCTATGCTCCGCATGACTTTACGACTCCACGTGACTGAGTACTGGCTACTTTGCGCCGGGACTAGCTGCGCAGTTCGGTTTCGCAGCCGTAAACACATTTGTGTCGTCATGGACGGTGGTGAAGCGTACACTCTTCCCTGAGCTCAAGGACGAACATTTTTTTGAACAGGGTATGGCGTTTATGCCTACAAGAGTCACCAAGGTAGAGAGTCACACCACCGTCTCCGAAGGCAGAGGGCTCTTGTCACTGGAGGAGATCTCCTTGATGGGAATTTTCTCCTTATCGTCAGCTTCGCTAATACTTGGCGTCAATGGCGGTTCCTGGTTAGGCCTAACGCGGAGCACCGTCTGGATGATGAGGGCCCGCATCGCTATGTCTGCAGCCGTGTCCACGTTTGCCTCCTCGGTGTCAACGCGCTGGACGATCGAGTATGGCTTTAGCGTGCTCAGCCTTGTGTTGTCCAATATAGAGTGGCCGGCACCGACGATAACTACGGTGGCACCGGCATCAAAATCTCCAGCTGAGAGCCGCTGTTTATTCTTGGACAGGGTGCAGAGGGCGTCGCGAAATGCCTCTCGGTACTTGACGGACATCAGCGAGTAGAGTATCGGGTTAATTGTGGCACTGAAGTAGTAGAGACACCCTGTAAATGAAGAAGATAAGAACAATGATCACATGAGCAAACACCTCCTTTCAGCTTTATTTCCATCGGGCGACAGAACGCGAATCAGCTGTAGGCTGTTACACCCTGCCAACACAATTGAATAAAATGATTTATTGTTGCTGAGTGGCCTGAAATTTTCTGAGAACACATCTAACGAAAGCAATCGATTTGCTTTTTCAGTATGCTGAGTTACTGCTGAGCTACATTCTCAGCTTCATATAATACGTCACACCAGCTGACAAAATAGAGTATACGCCCTCGTCGTGATTGCTGAGAGTGGCGCTGGCTCACACTGGTTGGTTTACATGCACGAAAATACCCAATGAAGTGAATGAAAGAACCACTACCGCTGTAGCTTACTTGACCGAACACGTTACTCGAATGTTGTAGGATTCATCGTTACCAGTCCCAAGTTGATTTTTCCCCTATTTTAATTTGTTTGCAATGAGATCGTGTTTAGAGCACAACTCTTGAAGTGAACTATACGTTGTTTCACTTCTTTATCTATTGGTCTCGCAAGGTTGTGTCTTACAAGTAAAACGATACTCGTACATCGCCATTCTTATGAGTTTTTTTGAGTTATTTCTGTCGATTTTGCCATTACGTACTTTTTGTGCAATGCCTCCATGCGCATTCATGGCTTCTTTATTTTTTTTACTTTTTAGGCATCCAATGCATCAACGATATGCCCTGCATACTCTTGGTCACGTGGTTGCAGTGAAGTACCTACCGGCTGTGTAGTAGAGCACTTCGTTGAGAGTGCGTAGGCCCATAGTCCATTGTGTGGGGCTGACGTACACCACCAGAAGGCGCTGGGTGTGGAATGGAGCCCAGCAGACGAAGAACGCTATGACCACCGCCACTGTGTGATACAAAGGTTAGAATATTGGTGTCGTTATCCTCAAAATGAACAGGTTAGAATGAAGATATCGAGAAGATATTGATACCTCTCACATAATAGGTCTAATTTAAATAGGCATAGAAGTGTTAATCCGTGAAGCTTGGACTTTCTCGTGCGATAGTTAGTTTGTGATGAAGCGGCAAGCATCACCGGCAAGCATGTCGCAAAACATAACAGAAAAAATGCAGGCTTGAAGCTTCATGTACTTTATCGCGAGTCGCCAAACTTCCACACGTTCACTGCTATAAGCTATAGGCAATTAGGCAATAATATTGTTTGCACACATCACTATAAATAGCGATGCGTTTGCGCTACTGTTAGTTCACACCTAATAGTGCCTAAAGATAAATTTTATGTTTATTTACATCAAATGAAGCTGAAGAAAATACAAAACAAAAAACTATAGAGACATAGCCTGGACGGAGAGAAAGATACCCATAATTGTTCTGTTCTTTCATTTTTAATGTGACGTTACTTGAACCAGCCAGAAGTCAGCTCCCATGAGAATCACAAGTATGAGCACATATTACAAGGACGAGAGTAGGGGTACGGGGGGGGGAGGGGAACCGGAACCTTACCTAGCATTCTGTGCACTGGTCTGCGCTGGTGCCTCCCCTGCTGCCCGGGTCCTGGCTGGCTCCTTAACCGCATTCCTATCTTGAGGTACAGCACTGCTATGACTGTCATGGGAAGGCAGAAGAAGGCGAACGTCGAGCACTGCAGCAGGGGAAGGCTGACCGCTGTCGTGTCCATCGGTAGGGCGCAGAAAGCTGACTCTGGCACCACGCGACCCGAGCCAACAGGGAAGTCGACGAAGTTGACCCGAGTGTAAATGGCGAACGGTACGGCGCTCACCAGCGACACCACCTGATCACATGAGCAAAGGAAAAGCACGACAATGCAAGCGTTAAGCAGTCAGTCTCGCTGGAACTGGACATGGCATCCAGGTCAATGTCTTTACGAAGAGAGAGAGAGAGAGAATTAATCTTTATTTTGTGACCAGGCGCGCGGCTTCTTCACCCAGAGGAGGGTGACTTCCTCATTCAAATCAGCTATGTCTAGTCACCGACGCTCATGTCCCTTCCACCAGCCGGAGCTGATCCTCAGGGTTTCCAGAAGTCAGCAACGCCTCCCGTTAGTGTTCTAGAGTTCCTTGTTCATCCGCTCTGTTTATGTATGAGCGGGATACTCGGCTTGTTTCGACTGCCAAGCACCATGCGGTACAGGGTGTTTGCAGTGTCCAGGTAGTATCGACAGTTTCTGTTGTTGAGCAAGTGGTGACCTGGAGAAGGCTACAGACAGGCATCTATCTGCAAGGTACACTACTACACACAATGTTTACGAAGAAAGAAGAAGGAAACAGGTAAACAACAAAGAGGTTATACAGTTTTAGACATGCTGGCAGCGTGCAGTTTAAAAAGAGAGAATCAGAGTAGAAAAGGGGCGGTTGAAAAATAAAAAAAGAAGGGAAGTAGGTTACGGCATTGTTTGAAAGCAGTCTCTGGGGCCAGTTTTACTTCCGAACACAACAACGCATTCAACCCTTTATGCACTGAGAAGGGACTTAGTGTAACAGGACCAGTTCTTACAGGGAAAGAAAGATCATCAAGTAGTTTTGAGGTAGAAAGGTGGCTGCATTTGAATTAGAAAATACTTTTCACTCAGACTTCGACATTCACGATAATTTGACCTGTGGCTGCTGAGACGCTTCGGATACACATGTGAAGAAAGGTGTTCGTTGAATTTCGTCCTTGTACAACGACCAATCTTTTTACTACCATTGAGATTTTTCACCAGTCGATCCTTCGTAGCTTGATACCATTCTTTTACCCTTTTATTGGTTCAGAATGTGATTGAGCTTGCCTAAACAATGGAAAGAAGTAAACACGAGGAGACAGAGAGTGTGTATATGAGGCGTGTGTGCCAACCAGTACAGAATATCGGATATGTCATCTTATACAGGGAGAAAGGGATGATAATACTGGAAGGCTAAGGGTTGTGAGAAAGAAGATCGAAATATAAAGAGAAAGGGCAAGTATACACACACGCAGTCATACTCCTCACTGTCACAAAGTCGCTGTTGGTGAGGAACCCCCGTTACAAGTTTGCCACCTTCAAGAATTTTTTCAGTACATTCCTTGCCTTCATCCATGAAGACTTTTGTGAACATTGCAATATAGTTACTGCCGCCATCCATCTGTGTTCAAGACGAGTTAGAGTGAGTGCGAGTGATCACTTCTGCTCATGTTAGATATATTGATGAAAGGGTTTAGGGATGCTACGTCTTAGATATATGAGTTCCCAAGCGGCTGTTAAAGGATTCCGCCTCATCATGGTAAATAGACACTGTGTAGTTTGCATTATTTTCGGCCGGGTCTAGCTGTGTCGCAAATGAGCAGGTGATTTAAATACTTTTCTTTACACATATATAGGAACAAATTTTTATAAAAATAAAGAACGCAGGGCGGCATTCTTACAGTATATTAATGGGTCGTACATGGGAATTCATACCTATACACTAATACTTACGCAACTACTTTTTCATACGTCAGGTGCAATGCTATGAAAGCTGGTGAGACGTTCAATATTTGTTCAACAATTTCGTAAGCTAAAACGACTTTTTTTTCTCGTTTTTAGATAGAGCAAATGAACATTATCTGTGCTTTGGAAATAAGCCAACTCTGTCACTTATACGGTAGTAATAGGTTCTTCACAGTCATTTCGAGTATCTTCGTTTCCGTGTCAACACCTCGGCGATCAGTTCTGGTAGCAGGCAGCCGAACCAATCGCGGAGATGAAATCGAAGCATGAGGCAGGCGAACCTGCACGTTCCGCTAATAAAACTTATTGCATAGCTTCTGAAGCAATACATCTGATGCACGAAACTCAGTACGTGGACGACACGTGATCAAGGTTTCACGTGAGCGAACTACGTGGCTCACCCAGATGATGGCGATGATGCGCACGGCCCGAGTCAGGCTTGATGTGGTCTGCAGGAAGAGAGGGTGATAGATGGCCACGTAACGTTCTGCGGTGAACGCCACGATGGTCAATACTGAGGCGTACGAAGTGGCTTCTGCCACCAAGGCCCTGAAGCGACACAGAGCCTCGCCCAGTCGCCATGGGTACTGTTGCCAGTAGAGCTTCAGGTCGTTGGGCAGGCCTGCGTGTGATAGCATATTGAGAACATCAAATGGTAATGGCAATGTAATAATTACCGAGAGCTGTTCGTTTAGTAAACAGAAATGTATGACTACATGACATTGAGGATATCACGTTCAACAAGACACATCAAAACGTACAACTAAAATAAAATAAAATCAGACATTAGGTGGGCCTAATGGTGTAGAAGGAGTGGCGCCCAATAGCAAATCAATAAGGTTTATAGGGTCTTTGTTCCTAGGTGAACTTCCTTTCGTTATCTTTATACCGAATAACGTGAGCGTAAAGTGAAAGGCCGGATAGGTGGTGCCATCTAGTTGGTAGAGAAGAACCAGGAAAGCAAGGCGTTGTTTTTGCTAGTACATTATAGTTCTCTGCTAGAGTAAGCTCTCGTCAGTTGCCTTATACGAAATGGGTTGCCCTTCTTTAACTTGCTTTCCTCAAGGGCACTAGGAGAGAACAACCAAGCACGTCTTTAATTGTGGTAGCACAAAACGACATAACGTGTTGATATTGTGGTCCTGTATATGCCGGTATTACATGAACATCTTTGCGCATAACGAAATTATGGACAAGCTTATGACCTGTAATACGGACAGCTGCGAAGTTATGCATCATTTGCAAAACTGTATCGAGTGCGTCAGCCATTTCCGCCTGCTTCTCACTAAGATCAATTGAATCCGCTCAAGCCTGCTTTAGCCTTAACTTACACATTATGTGCAGTAATGAGTACATATAGTTTTTTTTGCATGGGAAGTATCGTCGCTGGGCTTCATTTTCACTACACCAAGAATGCACCCACACAACACAAAACCACCAATTGTACAACGCACGTTGGTGTCATATACATTACTGCAATTGCAAGGTACATCTACTATTTTGACTGCCTTATGAAAAATCTTATCTTAAGGGAACAGGTGTGATGCACGTGAGTAATAACACGCACAGACACCAAGCGGGCACACGCCAAGCGAGAAGCGTATGCGTGTTTCGTGGCCCATCGAGTTATGTGAATGATGCCCTGCACAGTCACTGTATAACCAAGTAAAACAATAAAAGCTTGAACCGGCAGATAGTGCGAAAACTATTTCTGAGATGGGGCTCATTCCTGAAGCCGGAAAGCGCTACAGACCGTGTTTTCTATTCGGCGTTGTCCCAACTCTGACGGCTTCCCGAATCGCCAATGGTTGATCTTTCTCCACTTCCTAATCGCGCGAGGTATCTGGACCGTCGTTGTAAGATCTATTCCTCCAGAGAAAGATCAAGAAAATCTTGTGTGCGCCAGACCTATCCAAGAACAAAGAAACTAAAGTCCCGCAAGGGGATATCAGTGATTGAACAGGGAAGGAGGAGACGAGAGTAGCTAGCAAGCGAGCTCCCGAAAAATCTCGTCTAAGACTTTGGCTGCATCCTCAAGGAACGCAGTCCGATACCCTGCATTGTTTCGTACTTAGTAAGGACAAAGTAAATAGCTTTTTTTTTTTACATCTGCTTGTCACAGCTTGGTTCTTTGCTGTCAAGGGTTGCATCCTATTCTTTCTTGCGTTCCCGGATAATCGGATTCCACGCGAAAGTTCGTTACAGTCTCTGCAGAGCAATTTGTCACGTTGTTCAAATAGCCTAAGGATTTCTCTTTTGCATTTTTTGCTATACGGTGTTCCTCTTTGAGGGAATAGGTGATAAAATGACGATAAATGTTTGGGAAGTTTCTTTTCAGGCAAAGATCCTTATCAACGGTATAGGGATTACGCTAACCAAACACAAAAAGAACATGAAAAAGAATGAAAGACGTTTCGGCCCCCGTAACGGGGCCTTCTTCAGAATGAACAAGGTCTCGGCATAAGAGCCGGAACGTCCTTCTAGTGGTCATTTCGTATCTGGTGGACGCATTCATTTTAACTTTGACTATGTGCATTGTCGACCAGGCGAGATTTTGTCACACCCTTTATTTTATTTCAAGCAAAGCTGCTGCTACTGATTGCTGGTTTTCATGGTGGTGGCATGACGCACGCGAAGAACTCCGCGCCGTCAAGTTACCAGTTGCGTGGATGTACAGTAAAGCGCCTGTAACCTATGCGTTTATACATGCGCCGTTGTGTTTTTTTATAAAAAATTTACGCCATCTCTTCAACAAGGGCATGGTGGCTCTATGAGATATCGCTGATACATCAGTCTGGTATTTCGTCGATGCCACTTGTCATTTGGCGCTGCCGCATTTTCTCGATATTTGGATGTGCCCGCGTTTCCATCGGCGTTGCGTATAGCGATTGAAATGTTGCGCTGCTGAGCGCGTAGATAAAAGTCCGGTTCCCGGCGTTGATTAATTGATTGATATGTTGGGTTTAACGTCCCAAAACCACCATATGATTATGAGAGACGCCGTAGTGGAGGGCTCAGGAAATTTCGACCACCTGGGGTTCTTTAACGTGCACCCAAATCTGAGCACACGGGCCTACAATATTTCCGCCTTCATATGAAATGCAGCCGCCGCAGCCGGAATTCGAACCCACGACCTGCGGGTCAGCATCCGAGTACCTTAGCCACTAGACCACCACGGCGGGGCAGTTCCCGGTGTGGAGGGAGGAAATATTTTGGAGGGAGCATCGCACAGTGCGAAGCAACGAAGGAAATGGTAAAGAAAATTAAGAAAAAGAAGGAAAGAAGAGAAAAGGAAGGAAAACGGAAACAAAGAAATGAACAGAAAAGGAAAGGAAAACAGAAAAAAAGAAGGAAACGAAGAAGAAATGAAAAACTCAATGAAGGAAAGAGAAATAAAGCAACGAAAAGATGACGGAAGGAAGAAGAAAACCAAAAAGCGAAGTAAATAACAAGAAGGAATAGCAGAAGAAAAATAAAAAAGAACAAAAACAAAAGAGAACAAAAACAAAAAGGAAAAAAACAATAAAAAAGAAAATAAATGAATGAAGAAAAAGAAAGAATGAAAGAAAGAAAAAACAGTATGTTCTGCCCACCCACGCCAAGCTTCACTGCCCCCTACCCCTCTTTTTCTTTCTTTCAAATCGATACAGAAAGGACTCCTGAATCTTCGTGGCAACAACCATTTTACCGCACTCCCACCAGTCCTTATTATGCCGCGATATTGCCGCAAATGAAGCCGTCTTACGTCAGCACAATGGACAGTGGGTTGCTTTGTGAAATCGATTTATGCAGTTGAACTCTGCACGCACTTGCGAGCGGTTGGATCGAATCCTCGGACACCGAGTGCACAAAAAGCGTTCGAAGTGGGCGGCATACGTTGCGTGTCGGACAGTCGGATATCGGCACCTGCGCTGCGGTGTTTACTTGTTCTGCGAACACAGAGCGTTGCGCAATACGTTCTGGTTACGTACTGGTGAAAGCGGTGCTACAGCGTGCGAGGCATCCGATGGCAAGCACGCACGTATCGTGTGACCAGTTGCTCCAATAGGCGCCCCTCGACGTGATGCCGTCCTGTTGCGCAAGCTTTCGACAGGGGTCTTCCCCAATCCCTGGCTTTATAGCAAGGTATACTCATACGTATATACCCACACGAATAAGAGTGGGGTGGAGCACATTCGGCAAGCACTCTCAAATTACGACAGGTAGATTGCCACTATCCCTCAAGAGGAAGGTATATAACAGCTGTATCTTGCCGGTACTTAGCTATGGAGCAGAAACCTGGAGACCTACAAAGAGGGTTCAGCTTAAATTGAGGACGACGCAGCGAGCAATGGAAAGAAAAATGGTAGGTGTAACCTTAAGAGACAAGAAGAGAGCAGAGTGGATTAGGGAACAAACGGGGGTTAAGGATATCATATCTGAAATCAAGAAGAAGAAATGGACATGGGCCGGGCTTGTAGCGCGTAGACAGGATAACCGCTGGTGATTAAGAGTAACTAACTGGATTCCCAGAGAAGGCAAGCGGGTTAGGGGGAGACAGAAGGTTAGGCGGGCAGGTGAGATTAAGAAGTTTGCGGGTATAAATTGGCAGCAGCATGCACAGGACCGAGTTAACTGGTGGAACATGGGAGAGGTCTTTGTCCTGCAGTGGACATAGCCAGGCTGATGATGATGATGATACCCACACCTCGTGACACCACACTGTAAATACTGCTCACAATCGGCCACCCTCGTACACATGGCATGGGCGTGCCCACAGTACACTGACGCTTCTCCCACAGAAGATACTTGGGAGTCCCTTCTGCACATCACTGACTCGGAAAGCGATGCCGGGTAATCTGACGCGCATTGGAGGCTGAGGTGTCCCAAGGGATCCCCGCTGACCTCCTCTGAGCAGCGTAACCGACCTTTCGGCCGGTCCACTCTTTTGGGAGTATTAAAGTTTTGATCATCGTCATCATACAGACGGCGCTCCGTGTTCCGTCACGTCCAAGGCATTGCGTTATGCGTGGCTACGTACATGACATAATAGAGCATGTCTGCTGAATAGGTTGTCTGGTTCGCAGTGCTTGAAACGTGAAGAATGGATCGGGAAGAGACGAAGGAGCACCCGCCACCGACAGTTTTTCGGCGGTAACAGTTGGCAGACGAAGCAGACCTCCAAGCTTGTGCGGTGGCATGAAAACTTGACGTCAAACACGTCGCACTCTGTCTCTTCCCTATTCTGTCTTCGAGTGTAAAGAACTGCTCCAGAAATGACGCCGTAAACCAACACAGGCATAGGCAAACAAGTTCTAGATTGTTAGAACGTGGACATGGTGCCCTATGATCGTATTAGCTGGATCAATTATTGTGCTGTTATACTAGTATTGCTCCTACGCACAAAGTACAGAAATAATGGTGGTTATACCCTGTGGTAGCATACATCTCATAGTTACTGCCTTTGGTAGTTATTACTCTGTGGTAGGTATCTTGCGGTAATTATACTCTGTCGTAGTTATTTTCAGTAATTGTGACGGCCTTCCTTTTCGAAATCCCGAAATGGCAGTGGTCTCTTCGCAGTAAGGACCTACGTTCCGCTCCTTAACGCAACTGGTCATTTCCGATAACTACAAAGTTAAA